TCCAGTCTTGCGTAAAGGTTCTTCCTTCTTTTGCCTGCCCCTCCCTTAATTGTCACCCTTATTCATTATGCTTGAACCCTAGAAAATAGATAAGTAATCTATCAAAACACCGCAAGAAAAAAGTCAACTGAAACCAAGCTTGAAATTACTTAATTCTTAAAATAAAATTCCATCACTCTGAAGGCAATTTTGGTGAATCTTCAGATTGTGTTCTTGTTCTAATATGGGAGGCCTTGTTCTCGTGGAAGGGATCAACCTGTTTGACCATACCGCTCAAATTTAGGAATTGGTATGACTGAAAAGTAATTCATTCATTAAGTAATTCCTCCATGTGGACAGATGGATTGAAAACTGCATGCAAGGTTTTTATGTGTATCGGAGAAGCTCTTGTCTCAAATGATGCTCCTCAAAAGCAGAGGACATGGCCCCACTTGGATCCATCCATATCACAATCATGCTCTGAAAAAAAAAAATTCCTCCTTGTGCTTCATATCATCCTTATTCCATAAGTGAGGACAAATCATCCTTAGTTCCACTGGTTTTAAAGTAGTATTTTCCCCCTTATTCTGACTCCATACTTTAAGGAATATACAGCCTGTTATGCTTGGAGGGGAGTTGAATAATTGGTGTAATTGATATATGGGAATGACCTTGGAGATGCTGCCTATGATAGAATCAGATAAGAGAGAGCTTACCTTGCAGCTGCATAATGGATGAAGAAAGGAAGGATCTCCTCCCCAAGTTAACAGACTTGGAAGGGACCTTGGAGGTCCTTTAGTCCAACCCACTGTTTAGGCAGGAAACCCTATACCATTTCAGATAAAATGGTTGTCCAATCTCTTCTTAAAAACCTACAGTGTTGGAGCACCCACATGTTCTGGAAGCAAGTCGTTCCACTGATTGTTCTGTCAGGAAATGTCTCCTTAGTTCTAGATTGCTTCTCTCCTTGATTAGTTTCCACCCATTGCTTCTTGTCCTGCCTTTAGGTGCTTTGGAGAAAAAGTTGACCCCTCTTTGCCCTTAGATATATTGGAACACTGCTATCATGTCACCCCCTAGTCCTTCTTTTCATTAAACTAGACATATCCAATTCCTGCAATTGTTTTTCATGTGTTTTAGCCTCCAGTCCCCTAATCATCTTTGTTGCTCTTCTCTGCACTCTTTCTAGAGTCTCCACATCTTTTTTACAGGGTGCAAAAGTTACAGTTACAGTTCTCAGGCTGTAAAGGAGACAGTTGGAGACTTGTACGTTCAGAATTACTGTATAAGATTCTGTTAATGTAGTAATTTTGTATTTATTTATTTTGTCATGGTTATGTAGTGTATATTGGAGGTGGAGACCCTTTGAGAGCTGTATGCAATGAAATTTCATTTTAATGTATGCCAATTAGTGTGTCAGCTTTGGAAGCCATATTAGGCCGGAAGCTTCAATGCTGCCACCTTCTCATGTGTGGGAAAGTAGGAGGGGGGATTAAGGAGAGGGGTTGTTAGTAGATATAATAGCATTCTTCCTGTCGGTCAAGGTCAGGGCGATCCAGCATCTGGAGAAGGAGTGGTCGGGGGGCTGGATCGAGATGGAACGGACGTTGATTGGGGCATGTAATCGACTGGGGGGGGAAAGAGGATGGTTTTGGGAGCTTTGACTTACTGAAGGAGAACCCGGGTTTTTCAGATCCGGTTTTCCCAGATGTGCCAGTTTGCCTATTCTAGTAAAGAGAACTTTGGAAAAATGTTTGCTTCCGCATCTTTACTTGGAGTTGGGGGTTTTCTGGAACACTGACATAGTGTACATTCAAAGTGATAATAAAGTCATTCTAAGTCTAAGTTCTAAGACCTTGGCTGCTATCAGGATGTAATGGGACAGAATGGTAATTCACGTTATAAATATCTCCCACTTCCACTTCCTCTTAAGCCTTGAAGGTGCAGAAGCATAGTGATCAAAACCATCTTCCAACAGCCCTTGTCTTTAGTACAAAGAGAGATAATCATTAAGAAGCCCTGGAGGAAAAACTTAGAAGAGACTCTACGACCATTTGTGACTTGATAAGACATTTCTTTAGTCTCTGTGCTCCTGATGACGGAGCCAGCATAGAAACCTCGTGATCATCACCATCATCTATAAAACTTGCTTCTTGGAGGCAACAAAGGGACAGGTACCGTGAATGGCAGTACTTTGAGCATGCCTCCATCCCACCTTAAAAAAAATATGGAACATCTCCTTCCAATTGACCGGTGGGGGTTTTGGATATCATGTTCTCTGCATTGCAGTGTCTGTCTTTATGCTATTCCTTGGCAAGTGGCCAGCCCTTTTCACTTATAGAAGAATTAATGCCTCTCCCATCAGATCTATTTTATCTCATGACTATTCTTTCCCCACCCCCACTCCCCTACTCAGGAGAATTTAGGTTAGTTAATTATCAGCCTCACTTTATTTGATTAGACCCAGCCTTGCCAAACTGCAAGTAGTCTTTGATTTCTCTGCAAGGGCACAATAAAGCAGAAACATACTTTACAGAAAAACAGTGTTTTATTGGGGGTTATTAATGTATGAGGATTGGGAATAAAAGAGTGAAATCTCCAATGAGCCACAGGAAACACTGGATACTCCCAGGATAGTCAGTCTCTTATGTCTACTTGACAGGGTTGCAATGAATGTGGTTTTTCAGATGGACTAATTCTGCATTTGTTTCCAGAATTTCTTGGACTAAAGACAGGTTGAAAATGTTGTTCCACTTAAAGTCTGAGACAGCCAGCAGCTTCATGTTAAATAATATCCTCCTTTGTCCTACTCTGTTGGTTTCGCTTCCCTTTTCCAGATTAAATTAAATCAGGATTTCATAACTCCTATTGAAACATGGACCTCTAACTCAAAGCGTCAACTACAGTTATCATACGTCCTTTATTATAAAGGACAGTGCTTCAGTTCAGAAAGCTATCCTTTAAATGTATTTTTTTTTCTTGGTTTTCCTCTTGAATTTTCTATTGTAAAGCAAAATTATAAACAATTTTTGCTATCTTTATGAACTTCTTTCAACTTTTTCCCTTTTTCAGGCTTGTCCTTTATTTTTTTTCCTAAGAAATTGTGGTCATTGTATGTCACTGAGTAGAAACGCCAGGTTCAAGAAGAAAATTGAAAGCCAAGTTTGACTTCTTGCATTTAAATGCACCTTTTTTTCAAATGCAAGTAGCAGCTGTTGGAAAGTGGAATGATGGTAATTAGAGATTGGAGCAAAAAAGTGAGTTTAACTTTTTCTTCTATTGCTGAACAATTGTTTTCCTTGTTTTCTTTCTAACCCAGTGTTTTTCAAACTTGGCAAATTTAAAACAATTTCAAATCTCAGAATTCTGGCTGGGGAATTCTGGGAGTTAAAGTCCACATATCTTAAAGTTGCTAAGTTTGAGAAACATTTTTCTATGCACTGGTGGAATGAACCATTAGTGTCAAAAAGCAACTCCTAATTATGTATGCAGCAGTGGGAATCCTTGGCGCTCTCTGAGCTTGGTTGTTTGCTTGCAAATGTCTCATTACCCAATTAGTTAACATCATCAGTGTTAGTGAGTACGGGGTTCACTCCAGGGGTGAAATCTACTTACCTTCCCTACTGGTTCGGAAGTGCGCGCTCTGCACGTGATTTTGGACCCTCTGCGCATGCACAAAACCATCTGTGCATGCGCAGAGGGTCAAAAACAGGTTCCTGGTTAAAACCAGGAAGTAACGATGTCCGAGTGGGTGGGCAGAGCCTCACGCTGCCACCGCTACCGGTTCTCCAAACTACACGTTGCCGCCGCTACCGGTTCACCTGAACCAGTGCGAAATGGTAGCATTTCACCCCTGGTTCACTCCCTGTTTTTATACTATAACTTGTCCTGCCAGTGTTGGTGGGGTTGTGGTTTTCTCCTTGATAGTTCCCTGATTAAGGTACTGTTTTATGCTTGTTTGTCTACTTATTTGTCTCCTTAGTAATTCCTCTATTTACAGTATTGTTAGGATATACCATTGTTAGGCTTTCCTAAGGTATTACGCAGAAAATAATATCCTATTCAAGGAACTACCAAATAGAAGACCACACCCCCTCCACCACTGGCACGATAAGCTACTGTCCGTAAACAAAGAGCAAACCCCACACTCACTGGTACTGACAATGTTACCTAGTCAGGTAATGAAATGTGTGCAAGAAAACAACGAAGATCACAGCACCAAGAATCTTACAGCTCAACTCACATATATTCATGGCAGGCAGCAATTTCAGATTAGATTTTCAGGCATTCCTCGCTTCCTGCTGCTGCAACCCTAATCGCTTTACATGCACCTTTCCAATATATGAAATTTAAAGATGCATTTTATGCCGCACATGTTTAAGCACAGCTTTCCTTAAGCAAACATTCCTTGCATTTGAAAACTTCCCTCACTTATCCTTTGAATGCAAGATGAACACCTTTCTCTGCTGCTTTCAGCTTTGCTCTGCCAGCCAAAACCAAATTTGGGTCCCCCAGGGATTGCCTCTTCCCCCAACAGTCCATAATGTTGTCATTATGAAAGCCTTTGACTCTGTCTGGATGGCAGCAGCTCCCAATATGTTCATCATCCAGAGGGACCGAAAAATGGCACCACAGGGTTTTAAGAGTAGCCAGGAGGGAACTTGATTCTCTTTTGGTCATTAAAAATAAAGGTATTTCCAGACGTCCCTTCTTCCAATTAGGAGAACTTCTTAGCAAGCCAAAGTACAGAGCCAAAGTGCAGAAAATCAGGAAATTGTCACCCAGAACTAATCACTTGTTCATTAGTGTGTTCCTCAGACGAGATAAACCAAATGTCCCCAGGAAAAGGAGCCCATTTTTTTTCTTTCCTACATGTTTTCATCTGCTGCTAATCATTTATGCCCACATGGATGCTGGATAGGCTACAATTGTGTTTCTTAAGCCAAACTTGTTATTTATTTATTTTTAAACAAGCAACACTATTTTGTTTTCTTTACGTGCACATATTTCTGACAGGACACTTTTAATGGCCAAGTGCTTCAAAACTTTATTGGCTTGCCCTCACAACAACCCTGTGAGGTAGGTCTCTTATTCCTACCCAAAAGATGAAGAATTGGGTTGACCAAAGTGACTTACCAAAGGCCCTAAGCGGCATTCCCCAACCTGGTACACTCCAATTGTTTAGGCATATCATGACATCATCACTATAGCTTCCAATGGACACTCGGAGTTTGGACAATCCCAAACAACACACTTACACATCCAGAGGGTTCCAGGTTGTGGAAGGCTGGTCTATAGCTAGGTGACAGGACTAGGAGTCCTGAGATCCACCCCTGCTCAAGCTCTACCCTTTATCTACTTTCTACTATATTCCTCTTCCTAGTTGCTTTTTTTAGAATCCCGTTCTACACAGGTTAGAATGCTAACAAGACAACTCAAAATATTTCTCTTCTAGCCCTGAAATCTGCAGAGGTATCTTTCCCAAATTCAAAAGCAATTCCAGTTTTAGCCAAGCTTCTTGTCTTGTGAGATGCAGGGAGACTGAACCCCCATGGAAGAGGAATTACTTGGCATGCAACCGGGCTCAGTTTCTATCCCTGCCTTAACTAGAACTCCGCCTATCCTTGAGCTCTAGTCAAAGGCCCATGAAAGAAAGGTCTCTCCCCACAAGGCTGGCTAAAGCAATCAAAGCTGACTTAAACATCCAAGCTCTTATGCTTGGCATCAAGCATCACTCCCGTTCCTATTGGAAGGCCATGAATTTTGAGTCATTCTGTCCCCTTCTGGGAGTGAATCAGGAAGAGAAGGATCAGTCCCAAGCTCTGGCCTATGACATGGGGGGGCCTGCCATATCTGATCCAGCAAAAAGGGCCATTGGAGAAATTGCAAGGGGCAGGAGGACTGCTCTGCTTGGGCTCTGCTTTGAATGTGTTGTAGTTAGCCACTGGGTGGGAGGAGAACATGCACTAGTGCAGGGGTCTCCAACCTTGACAACTTGGAGACTTGTGGACTTCAACTCCCAGAGTTCCTCAGCCAGCTTTGCTATTGTTGCCAAGGTTGGAGACCCCTGCACTACAAGCTACAAAGAGGGCTTTGCTATTCCATACCGCTGAACTGGCAGGCATGGAGAGGAGGAGGGAAAGAGCATCTCTATTTTATTTTATTTATTAATTCTTGGGAAAAGAATGAATATCCCCTTGACATACTGGGGATAAAAGTTTTTATTCAGCCAATTTATGGTTGAGGGTGAGGGGTGGGAATTGGAAGCATCCAAAATATGATCTTTCACCTTTAGTCTAGAGCAGCTCAAGTCCATTCTGTTGCTTCCAGATCATCTTTGTCACCTCTACCATCTCAACTTCACGCTATCGCTGGATGCATGCATGGCCTTCAGCCCTTGTCAGATCAAAAAAGGCACCCAACATATTATGTGCTACACATCACTTTCTAGCACTTGTTGGAAGTTATTGGTCTTGGGAGCTTCTGGTTTGGCCATCCATGGTCCCAGTTTGCTGGTTCTTGCAGCCATATTGCTTTGCTTACAATTGGCTGGAAGTCTTGGGCCCCCTCGTCTACAATCTTGGGATGCTATGCTAGGAAGCCACTCTTACTAAGACATTGTTTATGTAGTGTATATATGTGTGTGTGTTCTACAAAAATAGTGTTTAATATCCTTAAGATAACAAATTGCTCTCTATGGACTAGAAGCCTGAAACTAGAGACATTTCAACTGCTTTCGCGCTTCTTTCCTGCTTACCTACGATTTACTTTGTGGTGTACTGCTACTCTGAAGTTATTGACCAAAACTGCCCTCCTTTTTTCTCACCTTCACATAACCCTAAGGAGGGTCATTAAAAAAAAAAAATCTTCCAAAATGTTTTGGAAGATCAAATTGAAGCCCTACACGGAGGATATATTTACACATACTTCCATCAGGTAAACTGATTAGACAATGATTCCCAAAACATGTGAGCCAAAGAGGCAAAGCATTTTGGTAAAAATTAAGCTATAGTATATCAGAAACAGTAATCACTTAATTGTTAATAAAGCTAAAGATTTCTTGTTATAGCTTTCATTTCATCCTCTCTCACTCTTTTGAAAAAAAGAAAAGGCCAGAACATAGCAGAAGATCATTTGTTTGGTACGCAGAAATTCCCAATTTCTGGCTTTAGCCAATATTGGTGAGTGTGACCTCTTCCTGAAACCCCTAACAGTTCTAGTGGCTCAGGGTGGGTAATAGCAATAGCAATAGCACTTAGAGTTATATACCGCTTCACAGTGTTTTACAGCTCTCTCTAAGTGGTTTACACAGTCAGCATATTGCCCCCAACAATATGGGTCCTCATTTTACCGACCTCAGAAGGATGGAAGGCTGAGTCAACCTTGATATAATTGGGAGTAGTAACCAAAGGTCCAGCTTAATACACGTCTCATGTCTTTTTATGGAAAGCAAGACAAGAGCTCTTACTAGTTTAGTTAACTGGTGTGGGAAAAGGTCAAAGTCAGAAGCACATTTTTATTCCCAAGGAAGTTGAACAATTAATTAGACCCGCCTTCCCCACCTTTAACTCTCTCCAGATTGTACAAAAATATTCCTATCATCCCCATTGACTGGGAAGAATGGGAATGATTGTCCAACTCAATTGGAGAGAATCCAGTAAATCAGACTGGGTTAGGCAATGCGTTGGCTAGTTTGCATATTTGGAATTTTGAACATCTTGGAAGGAGCTCCCTTGAAATCGCTGCTAGAGGCTCGCCTATTTTCAAAACAGCTTCTGCTGTGGACATGGCCAATGAGGATTGTTCTTTTTATGCTCCACAAAAAGTGGTGCCCAATTGGATCTTTTTTCCCCCTAAGCCAATAGATACATTTTTCCAAAAAAAAAAAAAAATTACATGTGGCCACCATATTTATTTTCCAAGAAGAGAAATGAAATGTCTATTGAATCTAGAGATATTTTTGTAAAAAAATAGAATGTTAGAGGGTGGTTCCACAGAATGCCAGCTTTCACTGGAAGCGCTAAATTAAAAGGAAGTGAAATGGGGCGGGGTGCTTTATGGATGCAAAGATGTAGACGGAACTGTCAATCCTATTTATTTATTTATAAATTTTATATTGCCTCCTACTCGCTCACAGGTGACTCCACACAGCTATATAAATTTTCCAAATAAATAAATAGGGCTGATAACTTTGCTCAATACCCAAGCAGCTGCAAAGGAACATGCCCCAAGCTCTTGGCGTTTGTCTGAGCGCACAAAATAAAAGTGTACTCTAAACTTTAACCCAGATCAAAAAGTGCTTTGCCTCAAGGTGTCAGGAATTTGGGCACCACTATCACTGCATTTACCGCTGATTCCTTGCCATCATTTGATGACCACAGCACCAAGTAATGATCTCTCACAGATCAAATGTACACGGACCATTTCCATATCACTTTGGGAACACTGCAGACAGTAGAGAGGTTTTTTTTAGCTGTGGGAGCTGAGTAAATAGTCATGTGAAGTATGCCATGCATATGTGACAATTTGCTTAGTACTTTGATCTTTATGGGTCCCCCACTGAGCTGATGAAAGCATTCTCCCTACCGTTCTTCCACTCCCATTTGTTTCACAATGAACAAAACAAAGCACATGTCTCTTGGGTATGTGACTATCTAGTTTGACCCTAAGCATAATACACTATATATATATACATGACGTGCTTGTTCATTGTATTCTACCTACATAGTTACTATCCTGTTTATGAGGTGGACTGCTTCTATATGATCCCCTTGTTAATTAAACAGAGCCAATTATTTTCAAAACCATGAACTTCAGCTCAGGAAATCCCACATCTTAGAAGATGGCATCCTAGTGGGAGATTGACAGGCATTATTTGGGCTAAAAAAATTCATCCTCCCCAAGACAATATGGGAAAGGGTGACATTTTGATTGCTAGCATCAACATGAAAATTAGAACCTTAGGACCATTAATGTCATTCAGCCTGTCTTGTCCCCCACTCTTAGTGGAGTGATTGTTAAGTTTCATCTTTAAGAACATGCAGTGCAATGGAAATGAAGTTGCACAAATGCATGGTGTTTTTTTAAAAGGCTGCAACATGCGGTGAGGGGGATGTGTTTGGCTGTGTGTGTTTCTCCTTTTGGGGACCGGTTGTGTAAAGCAACACTGCCGTGTGAACGCACAACAGGGGCAGGCCACTGGGATGCAGCAGAAAGACTTTTTTTTTTACTTGCAAACCTCCCTTTGCAAACAAAGTAAGTCACTGGAGAACATGACGTAGCTTTGCAGCCCGATTCAAAATTCATCTTCAGAGCTGTCTGCTAAAAGCATCACCCGGTCTTGCATGCTGTTGAATTCTCTCTGCTAGTTGGAGTGAAGAGTGAAAAAGAGAGACAAAAAAAAGAAAGAGAGAAAGAAAGAAAGAAAGAAAGAAAGAAAGAAAGAAAGAAAGAAAGAAAGAAAGAAAGAAAGAAAGAAAGAAGGAAAAACATTAGCTACAAGGAAGACAACAAGAAAGACACTGTTTATTTCTTCCCTGCCTTGAAATATTCAGCTGCTGCAGCTTTCTTCAACCTACTTTCTTCCACATATGCTAGACTTCAGCATATCCAAAGAGCTGAAGTCCAATAAATCTGGAAGACACCAGAGAGAGGAAACTGGATTAGTTATAAACTTGGAGCACATCAAGAATAAAGCGATCAAGACCAAAGCAGGTGCCTCGTCTAAAAAGGTTAAGAAAATCTGACTCAGTTACACCAAAACACTACAGAATTCAGATTAAGCAGAAAGACATTAATTCTACATCACCTACAAACTAATTTGTGCATGTTCCCATTTTTTTACTTTTTTGGGACTGAGACTGGATTTCCATTCTATCATTCAGTCTTCTCCAACTTTGTGTGTTTCAGATATACTGAATTACTAAGCCAAGATGATGGAAATTGTGGCTGAACACTTCTGGAACATACTGGGTTGGAAAAGTCTGCATTTAATCATGCTTTATGTGTCTGTACATGTGTATGTGCATGTGTGCCTTTGGGTCAGTTTTTGACTCCAAGCAAAAGTGGCAAAGTTTTCCAGAAGTGATTTGCCATTTTTGCAAGCCTCCTTTCTGGGACCGAGAGAGTATGACTGGCCTAAGTACACCCAGTCTTCCAGTTTCTAGCCTGGTGCTTTCACTACTACACCAAAGTAGCTCTCTTTTAATAATGCATCTTACAAATCTAATTTATCTCAGATAAAGCCAATGTACCCTCTTTTTATTAGCAGAAACACAGCCTATGTCGCCATAGAAATAAACTTTGGGTGCCTCAAAGGAAAGGAGTGATACAAATACAGTAAATGGATACTTGCTTTGAACCATTCTATATTCATGTCAAAAACACGAACTGAAAACTATAGACCTGTGATGGCGAACCTATGGCATGCATGCCAGAGATGGCACGCAGAGTCCTCTCTGCTGGCACGCGCACAGTCGCCCAGGTCAGACCTCCGTGGCGTTTCCTTCGTGAGCTTCTGTTTCCCTGCAAACGATGAAACAGCAGCTCACAAAAGAAAAAGATCTTACCTCCTGTCGGTGTTGGGATGTCCCACCTCCCACCGGCCAGTTGGTCTTTTGGGTCTCTGCTGCGCATGTGCATATGTCCGCACTGCCGCATGTCCATGCATGCACACAAACATGACTGCACACATGCATGTATGTGGGCATGTTGGTGCATGCATGCATTTGTGCGCACACATACCTTTCCGTTTGGGCATGCGTGCGCACGCAGTTTTGGCACTCAGTGTCTAAAAGGTTCACCATCACTGCTGTAGACACTTAAGGGCTTTAAGCCTTTGCCTGTTGATTTGAAAGATAAGATGGCACTTTTCAAGAGCAAGCAATCATTTGTGGCGAGGAGAGAACTCGAGCAATTTCACAACATTTAAAAAAGAATACTAACCTTTCGCTTATGTCTTTTAAAGCCATTTCTGCGACGGCGGTTCATGATCTTGATGCTATAAAGCGCTCCCAGGATGAAAAGGGCTCCAGCAATGCCTACACCCACTGGGACCAGCATCCCAGACATGTATCCTGCCTAAGGAAGGAAGGATGGAAGGAAAATTGCAAGTAAACATCAGGTCAAGCTGGATTTTTATTATGCTTTTAATTATTTGGCCACTATTAATGTGTTGCAGACCTCAAACAATTGGACTATATTCTTGCAGAAGTGTTTCCAACTGTTAGCGACCAAGCTGCTACTTTTCTCTGCTGTCATTTAAACATAGAAAGTAATACTTAAGTTCTTAGTTGTAACTCTGGCTCTATCTTGTTTTCTTATATCACATACTCTCGATTATTTAATTTTACAATCTTACTACTGTGATTTTTTTTTTAATGGTACATTATATGTTGTGACCTGAAGTTACAACAATAGACTTATTTATTATGCTCGAAACTGATGTAGAGCTCTTTGCATTAATTGAATGCATTGCTTGGGACGCTTGAAGTAAAAAATGCGGTGCACAGGGCTATTCTCAAATTATGAAAGCCAGCAGCATCTGCAGAGGACCGCAAGGGAGTTTGGACAGAGAGATGCCAGCAGCATCACAGGGTCAGAGTGCCATCCCGCCTCTTTTCCTCATGAATCATGATAACAAAGCCAAAAGCAGCAGAGCTTGTGATGCAATGCTAAAGGCAGAAAATTAAACATTGTGGGAAAAAGCTTTACATAAGTAAAGGTGATCTTTGACTTACAACAGTTCATTTAGGGTTAGGGTGATTTATGTAAGAGCCATGGTGGCACAGTGGTTAGAATGCAGTATTGCAGGCTAACTCTGCTGACTGCCAACAGTTCAATCCTGACCGACTCAAGGTTGACTCATCTTTCCAAGATCAGTAAAATGAGGACCCAGAATGTTGGGGGCAATATGCTGACTCTGTAAACTGCTTAGAGAGAGCTGTAAAGCACTATGAAGCCGTGTGTAAGTGCTGTTGCTATTGCTTTTACTAGTGACCATTGCTGTGTTATAGGGCAAAGAACTGAAAAACACACACCAAGTTCTGACCATACTCCCAACTAAAAAAATGAACAGCAGCAGGCCAGAAGTATTAGAGATACTGACACACAGTATCTTCAGCATATACAGCAGTGAACCCAATACATTTCCTCAGTACATCCTTGAAGAAATATGCTAATTTTTTCTCCTTCCAAAAGCTTTTGAAAATTAATTTCCATTTAATGACCTCAAATTTTAACATTATAAAAGGGAGAGGGAAAATATCACCTGTCTTCTCTTCTACAACTGGAATAATTTTGGGGGGGGAAATCTGGTATTTTACAAGTTGCTTTCTTTCCCAGGGCAAAACAACATAAACCTTTAAGCATTTAGGACTGTTTATGTTTCTTTTAGGGTGACACTAATTAGAGCAGCTTTCAGCATAAAAACAGATAACTAAGGATAAATATGAACGCTGATCTTGTACAATAAAACAAAACAGTATTAACAGTAGAATAAAATTAAAACAGAAGAATAATAAGAGCAAGAAACTTATGGATCAACGTCTCACTTTATGAGAAGCGTTTAAATGAATTTTGCTGATACCGAAGAAACACAAAGCTTAAAATAAAGGCACAGACACTCTGCATATTCCCGTTGCAAACAAGTATTTGCTTTAATGTCTTGGATTGTATGCTTATTTTCTCAATTCATCACGCTAGAAATGGGTGGTACATTTGTTGCACGTAATATTTAGGAATAGGAGAAAAACATGTGACTATAAAACTGGTTCTTCCTAAAGCATACATTGGTTATCTGTGTTGGATGCTTATCCTACGGTTGGGTAGATAATATATAGAAAACTATGTTCTGTAACTTTAACTGCTACAAAGGTGACTAATTGGCTGTGCTAAGCAGACATAAAAGAAGGCAGGAAGTTCATTCACTTCTGCTCCTGCTATTAGAAGGTTGAACTGCTGAAAGGAACTGTGTCAGTGTTCCGGAAGAGAACTGGAATTGTAAGCAAACTATGTTTTGTGTTGAACCGTGATTATTTGAAGAAGTGTTATCTTTGTTTTGAGAAGCCAAGTTTGTTTTGTTTTACTACAAGTAAAGACTGTTTATTTTTCTATCAACGTTCAGAGTCTGTGAGAATCTGTGTGTTTTGCTAAGCAACGTATCTATTCGCTGTCTGGTTCGTTGCACTACTTTGCAGAGGGCAGTTTTACCCTCAACAATCTGTTGGATTGGTAAATAAAAGTACCAACATAGCAAAAGCTGGTTTAAGCTATAAGTTTTGCTCCACTATTTATTCTCACCCTCATTCTTTAGGGCAAGGGGAGGAGATAAGTATTCCTTAATTAGGCTTAAGCCTCACTAGCCAGGGGGTTCATTCCAGACTGTGGTTAAAAACAAATTAAAGATGGCACATGTATGTATGACATCCATAAAAAACTGGTCGAGTTTCCATTATACCATCGTAGCTACCACCGTGCCCTTTTTATATCATTCGCCATAGACAGAGTTGGAAGGGACCTTGGAGGTCTTCTAGCCCAACCCCCTGCTCAAGCAGGAAATCCTAGACCATTTCAGACAAATGGCTGTCCAATCTCTTCTTCAAAACCTCCAGTGTTAGAGCACCCACAATCTCTGGAGGCCAGAACAGAGACACCCTTCTAAGTAGTGACACTGCCACATTTCTAAATGCACCAAGCTTAATGTAACATATATTCAGTTTGTAGCCAGACCTTCACGTAAGGGCAGGATTAGACCAGCTTCTTTCTAGCCAGGAGCAAACAGGACAAGCTATTTCATACTGAATCATTACCTTTGAGGCAAGAACCTGGGTCAGTTATGTGACCAGGAGTGTTCACAGAGGACAGTCAAAAAGTCAAGATGGCAGCTTTGAAGAGTGTCATTGAAGCTTTGCCTGTTCGTTTTTAAAATGTGTGTCGCAAACATGCAAGGCACATTAAAAAAGGCAAAGTTCAGTGACACTGTTGCAGCCACCATCTTGATTTTTTTTTACCTTACTCTGTGAACACCCCTAACGGTGATCGTGTCACTAGTTGATGTGCTACAGGTGTGGGGTATTTTGGAGACTTGAATGGGATGAAATGAGGCAGTCAAAAATGCATTCCTTATTCTCCAGTCAGGGGAAGAAAAATAAGGCTGAAGTTTGAGGATAACTTTATTATTTAGTTTGGCAAAACAACCAATTTTTTTTTTTAAATGCTGATTTGTCTTCCAAATTTTGGTTGTGTGTGATCTCGGGTATGATCTGGCAGCTGAATATAGGTAGTCTTCAATTTATATCTGTAATGGAGCCTGTCCATTACAGTCATAAGTTGTGATGGTTGTAAAGTCATCCATGTGACTTAACCCAATTTTGCAACCTTTTTGGTGGTTAAGCAAACACCACAGTTGTTAAGCAAATATACCGTGTTTCCCCGAAAATAAGACCTTATCTTATATTTTTTTGAACCCTGAAATAAGCGCTTGGCCTTATTGCCATGCACTCAAAATCCCGATTGGGCTTATTATCAGGGAATGTCTTATTTTGGGGGAAACAGGGTACATGGTTATTAAGCAAACCCACTATGGGCAGTTTTCCTGAAAACCAGAAGTAAAAGCCAATTTTCAGTAAAACCATCATAAAAACACATGACCAAGGATGCTGCAAATGACCAATTGCCAAGAGCCTAACATGTGGTCATGTGACCATAGGGGATGGCCATTGAAACTTTAGAATGGGGTCATAAGTACACTACCCGTGGGGAGGCCTGCTGTAACTTCAAACAGTTGCTAAGCAACTGATTATAAGTCAAGGCCTATTTGAATAAGCTGCAGGTTATCCAACCTAAAGCATTAAAAAAAATCAAACAGAGGTCTACACTAGTGGGGGTATTCAGCCAGTTCTGTCCAGATTGCGCAAACTGGTAGCTGTGATTGCGGGAGGCACCGCCCACCTGCCCGGATGTAATGCGGGATTACTGCGCACACATAGAAGGCCATGAGCATGTGCACATGCGCAGAGGTGGCACGTGCAAACGAAACGAGTGTGTGTGTGCGCTCGCTCGCATTTGCGAACCGGTAGGGAAGGTAAGTGAATCCCACCTCTGGTCTACACCTACATAAGTCTATACAGAGGTAGAAGGCATAGGGAATGACCTTGGTGGACAAGAGAAAGAGTTGTTACCAGGGAAACAATCAGACTACTGGACTACTGCAATGCTCTCTACATGGGGCTCCCCTTGAGGAGCACCCGGAGGCTCCAGCTGGTCCAGAATGCGGCCGCGGGGGTGGTTATGGGAGCGACGGGGCGCTCCCATGTGACCCCCCTCCTGCACGAGCTGCACTGGCTCCCGGTGGTCTTCCGGGTGCACTTCAAGGTTTTGGTTACCATCTTTAGAGTGCTCCATGGCTTAGGACCGGGGTATTTACAAGACCGCCTTCTGCCACCAGTAGCCTCTCACCGACCAGTACGCTCCCATAGAGAGGGGCTCCTCAGGGTGCCGTCGGCCAAACAATGTCAACTGGTGGCCCCCAGGGGGAGAGCCTTCTCTGTGGGGGCACCCGCCATCTGGAACGAGCTCCCTCCGGAGATACGGAGGATCCCGGACCTGCGCGCTTTTCGCCGTGCCATCAAAACATTTCTTTTCCAGCAGGCCAGCCTGGCCTAACGTCTCTTTTAAACTTTTTAAAATTTTAACATTCTTCAATTTTAAATTTGTTTTATGAATTTGGGGTGTTTTAAATTTCATTTTCCGGGCCAATTATTTAATTGTATTTTAATGCTTTTTTAACATTTGTATTATATGTATTTTATCTGGCTGTTCACCGCCCTGAGTCCTTCGGGAGTAGGGCGGTATACAAATTCAATAAATAAAATAAAATAATAAATAAATAAGAGGGCATTGTGTTCCGTCCAAAAAAAACCAAGTCTGAAAAAAAAGTCTCAGACAAACTTTTGCCTGATTCACCCAAAGATAGGGAGGTTCAGTGGAGAAGCTCATTTAGACTTAATTATATTTAAAGGATTCTGTTATTATAGCTGTTACAGTAAAAGTCATCCTGATCTATATGGCATTGATAGCTTAGTCTGGTCTACCTTATAGGGCTGACAGTGGAGTTTCATGGATTCACGAAGCAGAAGTCAGCAGGGAGGAAAGGAAAGAGAGTAAATGAGAAACAAATAGGTGAGGATGTGTATACTGATGGGTCTAGCCCAATTCTGAACAATTAGCAAGGTCTCTTTACAGATTATTCAGCCTTCATCAGCCTAGTATCCACAAGGCGTCTCAGACCTACAGGTCAAATATTCCCACTGCTTTCTAACCACACTGGCTGAAAATCCTAAGGGTGACATAGCAACTTATTCAGGAATACAGCACACAGGGGAAAGGTGAGTTGCATTTTGTCCATTAAATTGATAGGGCACTGCTTCTACATTCGTAAATACATTTATGCTGATGCATTTCTAGATATTCTGATGTATAATCTTCTTCAGATATTCCTGCTCTCTATGAGTAGGAAGTTGTGCATGCAGAAGGGCAGGTGATATCCTGGCCATTGAGCATTCTCCACAAGGACAGAGCCACATCTGGATCCTTGGTTATTTTTAGGTTCATATGGAAATGATCAGAGTCAATGGCCTGAGGTGCTTGGAAATGTGTAACTTTTTTTCCTGCAATCTGCTGCCATTCTTATATATGAGACTACAACCCCCATAAGATACCCTGCTTATCCAAAGTTTAATGATAATTCATCTAGCAGATGAATTATCTGCTAGATGAATTCAATGGGTTCCGACTTAACCCAAGCAAGACTGAGTGGCTGTGGGTATTTGGACCTTCTGGGGACAAGGTTTTTCCACCTGGATTGCTCCAGATTGACCCAGTGCACAATCTAGGGAACCTCCTAGACTTGTGGCTCCTGCTGAAAGAGTAGTAGGTAGCCAGGCCTAGGACAGCCTTTGCAGGTGGTGAGCCAGTTGTGTCCATTCTTGGACTGGGAGGCTTCCATGCCCTCATAACTTCTTGTTTGGATTACTGCAACATGGTCTACTTGGGGGTTGTCCCTGAAGAGCATTCGGAAGCTTCAGCTGGTACAAAATGCAGCTGCACATGTACTAAACACCACTTGAGCTGCATTGGTTGCTGGTGTACTTCCAGATGCAATTCAAGATGCTAGTTATCACCTTTAAAGCCCTACATTGCTTGGGACCAGGTTATCTAAGGGAGTGTTTCTTCCCCAAGAAACAGTAGTTTCTACCTATCCAATGTGGTTTGGCAAGTCAGGCACACTGTGGGTCCTCTCAGCCAAGGAACGCCAGCTGGCAGGCTCAGAAGGCAGTCCCTCCCGCCTCCCCAAGGAACATTCCCCCTTCCGAGATTGAGATGGCCCCAACCCTACTGGCCTTTCATAAGGCTTTAAAAGCTGGCTCTGTGACTGAACCTCATGGCCCAAATGCGTGAAGGGTCCTGTTTCTTGGCTTTACTGATAAGTAAGTTATTATGATAAATTATTACGATAATTTTCTCGGCTGTTATACATATATTTATTTTATACTGTTTTTAATTGTTTGGAATTGTTTGCTCTCTAGAGTCAGTTAAGATGGGTGGCTATAGAAATTAAATAAATAAAATAAGAATAATGGGACTGCAGTCCAACACATCTAAAGGAGACAAGCTCAGCGAAGTCTATGTTAGTCTACTAGATCAGTGTTTCTCAACCTTAGCCATTTTAAGATGTGTAGGTTTCAGCTGGGGAATTCTGAGATGAAGCACATTCACCATAAATGATGCTAAAGTTGAAGAATACTGGTCCTAAAGTTTATCACATGTGGGAATACCCTGCATCTGCTGCAGATCACATCCTCACTTTTGATAATGCGTGCAGCAAAGCACTACTAAAGCACTGTAAACCACTCAAATTTCAGATCCTAGTTACAATTTGCTTCCTTCCTGGGAAGGAACATGTACTGTCCTGCCCTTGTTTCTGGCAATATGGAGAAGCTACATGCAAAGTGTTCAAACAACTTTACCTCCCCACAAAGGAATTGTAAAACCCAAGTGAGGATTCCTGTATCTCACAGCTCTCTTCCCCTGTGGATTCTAATGTGGGAAACCTACTTAAAATAAATGTATCAGCTACACAATGTTTAGGTATACATCGCATATCAAGAAGACTGTGGAATGGCAAGGCTCCAGATATATAAGCAATAAATCCTCAGGGTGATTAGCAGAATTGGGGCATATAAAATATTTCCACACATAATTCTGCTTCTACTAATTCTTAAAGAAGAGGATAGAATCCAGGGCCTGTAGCAAAAATTACTCCTGGTAGTACCTAGGAAGAAAAAGGAAGGGTATGATAGACCAAAACAGTCTTCCCTTCTAAATGTGTTGGAACTACCGTGTTTCCCCGAAAATAAGACCTTGTCTTATATTTTTTGAACCCTGAAATAAGTGCTTGGCCTTATTTTGGGGGAGGTCTTATTATTTTGGGGCGTATGGAGCAAGACGGGGCTCCTCTTGCCGTCTTACCTGATTTCCAGCTCTGTCTCCCTAACCCTAATCAGAGGAAATGCCGGGGATCGGCTGCGCGTGCATTTAAATATTTTCGGGGAGGGCTTATTTTTAAGGGAGGGCTTACTTTAGCGTATGCGCTCAAAAGCCCGATTGGGCTTATTATAAGGCGATGTCTTATTTTAGGAGAAACAGGGTATAAACCTCAGAATTCTATAGCACTCATAATCCAGAAGATGCCATTATAAAAATTGAATCCAAGGCTCGAGAAGCACAAATGACCACAGGACTCCAGTAAGACAGCACGGGTATCTTGATGCCATCACATAGCGATGTGCAATGAAATCATAATGCACATGACACCACTTATGGAGATTCATGGTCATCATTCAACTCATAAAACAACTGTGCTCTCTGCTACCCATCCAGAAAGTGTCTGAGTCTTATCAAAAGCTATGAATTAAAATAGGAGTCCCCAATCCTTGGGCCGTGGCCCATTACTGGGCCAGGGCCTTTTTGGAATCGGGCCGCATGCACAGCTCCATGCATGTGAGCGGCGCCCCAAAGGTTTCTCTTCTCTCTTGCATGAATGGAGCTGTGTGTGTGTACATACTGGCCTGGCACTCATGCGGCCTGGCACCCCTCTGCCCTGCCAGGCATGCCACCAAGCCACCTTCTCCCGATGCTCCAAAAGTGGAGCGGTGAGAGCAGAGGCTGAGTGAGACAAGCGCGCCCTGCTTAGCTTCACTGACTCACCAAGGCTACCTGCGCAGGACACCCAATCCGCTTTTGGAGCATCGGGCTTGGTGAGTCTGAAGTACCATGAGCCTGAGCCACCAAAGGCTTCTCCTCTCCATGCCAAAAGTTTTTTCAAATGGCCGAAAGGCTTTGGGGGAGTGATCTCACGCTGCTTAAGGCCTTCCATCCCGTTGCAAAAACTTTTGGCGCGGAGAAGCCTGAAGGAATGTGAAACCGCATCCCAAAGGCTTCTCTTCTCTCTTGTGTGAGTGGAGCTGCATGGCCCTGTTCCCCTCTTCCGCCGCTCCTCCCAGCTGGGCTGCCAAGCCGCAAAGGTTGGGCACCACTGGATTAAAAGATCATCTCTCCATAGTGGATTTCTAAAAATATAACAAAAAATACAGTGCATTTTACAATAAATTATACTGAGAAGAGCTCCCTACCTTGTCTTTCAGTTTTTCCATCCAGCTTCTCACTAGAAAATTAACAACATAAAATTAATTGCAATCAAAAGTCACTGAACATTATGGTAGCATAAGGCCAACGTTAACCCAATTTTGTAGAGGATTAGAAGCTCCTCAACATCTGGAGAGCTTTCTCCATGGTAGAGTACAGATAGTCCTCGAATTACAACTGTTCATTTAGTGACTGTTCAAAGTTACAACGGCACTAAAAAAGTGACTTATGACCATTTTTCACACTTACAATCTTTCTAGCATCCCCATGGTCACATGATTTACATTCGGATCAGGGGTGAAATCCAGCAGGTTCTGACAGGTTCTGGAGAACCGGTAGCAGAATTTTGAGCAGTTCGGAGAACCGGTAGAGGAAATTTTGAGTAGTTCGGAGAACTGGCAAATACCACCTCTGGCTGGCCCCAGAGTGGGGTGGGAATGGAGATTTTGCAATATCCTTCCCCCAGGAATGGGAAGGGAATGGGAATTTTGTAGTATACTTCCCCTGGATGGGGTGGCAATGGAGATTTTGCAGTATCCTTTCCCTGCTACGCCCACCAAGCCACACCCACCAAGCCACGCCCACAGAACCGATAGTAAAAAAAATTTGGATTTCACCACTGATTCGGATGCTTGACAACTGGTTCATATTTATGACAGTTGCAGTGTCCCAGGGTCATGTGATCTTTTTTTGGGGGGGGCGACCTTCTGACAAGCAAAGTCAATGGGGAGGCCAGATTCACTTAACAACCGTGCTACTAATTTAACAACCACATCAGGGTTCGTTAACAAATGTGGCAAGAAAAATGTAAAATGGGGCAAAACTCATTTAACAAATTTCTCAATTAGCAACATAAATTCTGGGCTCAATTGTGGTCGTAAGTCGAGGACTACTGCATATACAGTGGCCCCAAAGGCAGTGAACTCAGCAGCCCCGCCCAAGATCTTGGTGTGTGGACAAGACCCTTTCTGAGACATGGTTAAAACTCCCAGAAGGTGGATTGGATGACCACCAGCAGTTCTTGGGTAAATAGCTCTACCCCACAGCCTCTTCTTTGAATCCTTGAACAGGCACCTAAACAAATCAATGTAAATATCACAATGAGATGGTGAAGAACATATCATATTATAACTAGGCAAAATATAGTTTGCTTTATTCTTGCAGTACTTTTAGAATTATGCCCAAAGTTGACTAGCAGCTTTCCTGCTACAACGTAAGTGATCATTATGCTGCAGTTACAGTATGTTTAAAATGGGTTTTTGCACTATAGCATGTTTTGTAAGCAAAATAACAATCTGGGATTTGAACCAAGGTCAATCCAGTTCAGATGAAGCTAGAAAACTACCCCGACACTGCTTTCTATAAGAATTTGCAAAAAAAAGTATCCTCAGTATGATGACTCAGCAGAAGTGGCTTTGTTAAACCTACTGATGCCAAGAGACTATTAGGTTATTAAGTTTTGTTGTCCTTGATAACTGTTTCACTGAATAAACAGACTTATATCCAAGTTCCAGAGTATAACTGAAAGCAAGAGTCCCTAACCAATTCTCTGGAAGCATCTCTAAACCTGCAACTGATTGTGTATTGTGTAACTGACTTTCAGTGTATTAGATCTAACTAGGCAACCCATGACCCATCAGGTTATTGTTTCAGATGCATCATCATTTCAGAAATATTTACTTAACCTAAACAAAAGGATAGAATGACCATAGGGAGGAGGGGAAAAAAGCAGTGGAAATGGGGGCGATTTCCTGCCAGCTTCTCCACTGACTTTGCTTGTGGGAAGCTTTCAGAGAGAAAGTCACTGGGAAAGCCAGCAGGAAACATCACAAGTTGCTCCAGTATGTCTGCCCCAGGGGTGGGTTCTACTTACCTTTACTACCGGTTCACAATGGGACCGCTCACTTGCTCGTGCTTCTGCGCATGCGCAGAAGCTTCCTGATAACGTATGGGTCAGTGGGCGGAGCCTCCCACCAGTTTTACTACTGGTTCTTGCGAACCGGTCCAAACCGGGGGCAACCCACCACTGATCTGCCCCTCCCCAGGGCCACTTCTGCACCCTCGTGCACCCACCCCAACCCACACTGCACCCGTGTGCAAATTCCCCAAATTGGACTGCACTATGGCACACGCTCCCTGACCCTTGCCATGCCTCTTATGCAACCTTTTACTTCCTCCATACAGATCCTTCCTATGAAGAGATTGCAAAACAGTGTTCTCCAGGGGGTTGAGAAGGAATATTTATCTTGCCTAAACCATGCTCAGTGCTTTTCAAAGAATCACTGAAGTCGTCTCTACTCCCTCTCTTAATTTCTTTAGGAAGTTGTGTCAAGCACTGGGGAAATCAGGAGATTCAGGCAGTTCAAAGGAGTATAAAGATTTATTGCAAGCTTAAGCTCTCTACCAGAATCTAACCAACTGACTGTTAAGGGAAATGAGCGGGAGATAAGAGAGGCATTCAAGGTGGGCTGGACTTAGACCACTTGTGGGCATACAGGGACTCATGACTTATGATGCGTTTGACCCAGGGGTGAAATGCTCCCGGTTCAGACCGGCTCGGGTGAGTAGGTAGTGATGGCGGCGGGCAGTCCGGAGAACCGGTAGCAAAAATCCCTGCCCCCGCCCCCCATGCCCAGCTGAGCCGTGCGATCATCAGAGACTTTTTTTCCCCTTTTAAATGGCTCTGACGATCCAAGCTCTGACGATCCAAGCTCTGACGATCCAAGCTCTGACAATCCCTGCTAATCAGGCAACTCATCTGGGATCGCCAGAACCATTTAAAAGAAAAAAACATTTTTTTCTTTTAAATGGCTCTGACGATCCAAGCTCTGACGATCCTAGCTGAGTTGCCTGCTAATCAGGCAACTCAGCTTGGATCGCCAGAGCCATGTAAAAGAAAAAAACCTTTAGAGCCTTTTGAAAGCATTTTTTTACATGGTTTTACATGTAAAAAATGGTTTTAAAAGTTTTTTTAAAAATTGGCCACGCCCACCCAGTCACATTAACCCCCCCCCACCAAGCCACGCCCACAGAACCGGTAGTAACAAATTTTAGATTTCACCCCTGGTTTGACCCCTCCATCAGGCTCAGCCTGGTCATCTCTTACAAGTTGCTTATTACTTATTTCTTTGGAATTAAGATTTTTCCAAAAGACAAGCTGTATTAAACTGGGAGATTTTTCCTTCCACTCTGGGCAAAAGAAACTCTCAGTAAGTTTATGAAATAACAAGAGAAGCTTTAATTTTTGACAAACACCAAAAGGGGGAATAAAATGTTGATTTTGAAAAGTTAAGATGCTAGATGGACTTGAAAGAATATTTCCTGTGGGGTGCTTAAAAATTTATAAAACAGCATAGGAAGTCTTTGAAACTACTTGTAAGAGATCCTCCTGTGGGAAAATTTTGTTGATTGGAAAATAAACTGATGATCAGAGGGGACCTGAAGGGGAGAACAAAAGATTATTCTTGAAGGAAAACAAACACATTAACACAATGGTTCAATACTATTTGACTATAGAAGAAATAAGCCTGTTTCGGAACGATTTACTCAGAGGTTGCTTACAAGAGCAAGTGATGCTTACAACAGCAAGTGATACTATAGCAGAGGATGTACAAGATCAACAAATTTTATTGGATAAAACAGAGAACTGACAGGGATTTGAAGTTTTAAAAAATGTTGATTAGGAATATGATATAGAAAAAGATATGGATCTCAATATGGATTTTAAAATGTTAGAATGTAAGACCAGTATGGGAAACAATGCCAAAATAGATTTATCAATTAAACCAGCTGATGTGGAATTCAGCCAAGAGGAGCGTGGCAGGATGGCTCATTGGTATAAGGATTCCTGCCATAGACAGGGGGTTGGACTAGAGGACCTCCGAGGCTCCTTCCAGAATCCAGTCCTATAATTCTATGACTCTACGTCATAACAATAAAGGAGGAAATAGAAGTAATAAAGCAGAAGAGTGAGTTGGAAAGCCTTCTTACTTTGGATTTATCGAAGGAATGTATGGAACAAAAAAAAAAACTCCTGAAAAGAGATAAAAATTGTTCAAGCTGTGCTTTGAAGGAGACAAAGAGAATGTGATAAGAAATCATCTTGTGAGACATTGTATGATTTATAAAGTAAACCTGTTGAATAAGAGTTAAAATGAATCTTTTCTTCATTTTTGATATTTTTCTTAGCTTGCATTAGTTTGTTATCTTTTTATTTGTAAACTTTAATCAAATTTTGAGGGGAAAAAAGAAAATGATGATGGCATAACCATGGCTGAGTATAGCAGTGCTGAAGCAGCCACAATCCTAATCCTAATTCCAATCCCACAAGAATAATGGATCACAGATGTTGGATGCATTGTGTAACTTAGTCCATTTGAGGTATCTTGTTGCTTTGTGATTCACCTTTTGTCCAGTTGCAGGTTACAAACAGACAAACTTGTGACACAAGAGTTTGTGTATAAAGATATACCATTGCTCCTGGAAGCACGAAGCCGAAGACACCAGCCTGAAGATGACGAATGAGACTTCGTCGAAACGTTGTCAAGAAACCTCCAATTTTACGCGGGAGAAAACCCGAATAACCAAAGACCTACAGATATACCATGTATATATACAGTGTAAGCTATGGCACATAACTGTTTCACTATATTCTACATTGCTTAGACCAGGGGTGTCAAACTCAATTTCATTGAGGGCCGCATCAGGATTGTGTTTGACATCCGGGGGGCTGGGGTGGATGTGGCCAGGGTGGCCGTGGCCAACTTGACATCACTTGTGTCAGGGGCACCTATGATGACACAAATGCTCTGCCAGCAAAAATGGGCTCCTGAGCTCCGTTTTCAGCTGCCACAGCTTCCTGCAACCCTCTGCCAGTTAAAACAGAGCTCAGGAGGGTCGTGTTTTTGTTGGCAGAAGCTCCAAGAGCTGGTCCTTCGCTGTTTCCAGGGTGGCCCTGCAGGCCAGATTTAAGTACACCGTGGGCTGGATCTGGCCCCCGAGCCTTTAGTTTGATACCCC